ATTTTGTAAACTAGCTGCAATTTTCAGTAACTGTGTTCACCAACCGTGTAACAGAATTATAATGTTCTCCTAAGCCATATGCATGCCTCATATATCTGCAATGAAAAAGAACAAGTAGTTTTGATAAAAATAATTCATTGTATATAAATGCTTATTATTCTTACAAAACCAAGCACTCTGAATGATTCAGCTCACAGGGCTAACATTCAATAGAACACATGAGCATACGAAGAGCTCAATACCATTTGACAAGTATCAGCAGCCAGCAAGCAGTGCAACCACAGGGGGAGGAGGGGATGGAAAGGCTGAGATGAATGCTCAATAAACTTCCAATTCTCCCTCACTCAGGTCACTAATGACTACCTTAATAAGTTTAGCTAATAAACACTAAAGTGGAGAAGAAATCATCCATGCTGTATTTTAGAGATTTTTCAATCAAAATATATTGGCAATATTGAAGAAAAAAAATCTCTTAAGGAATGAATAAGCAACATGAATGTACTTTACTTTTTTAAAAGAATCCTTATAATACAAAATAGTGGTATTTGTTTCAGGGACTGTGCACATGCATGTAACATATCTCAATCATTTCAATCCCTTTATGCTGTCTTTCCCTCTATTAAGGGTCAACCGCCTATATTTCAGCATTTACATTTGTTGAAGATTTTAGGTCGCATTATTAATATCAAACCAGGACAATATACAAACTACTCTGAAACCTTTGCAATCTTTAAAAATCACTCTATTTTTTAACTCATACACTCAAGAAAATCACTAGAAGCTTAAACAATCATCTAAATTGTGTATTCTGACATTGCTTTCTAGTTCTACAATTACCTTTAATATAAGCAGAAGTAATTTGGTTAAAATATATTTTTTTGATATTCAACTAAAAAAGAAAAAACAAAACCCACCTAAATTATTTTAAATGTCTTTTTGTCTTACTTGTAAAAAATAAAACAGTAGAAATTTTTAGGTACTTACACAAGCGTTAATGGCTTTTTAGAATATTCTTCACCAACTACAATAGGAGGAGAATCTGCCTGTATTATCTCTATAGGTGTCTGTAAAATGTGAGATAGAGCTCTTAGCTACGGGAAAAAAGAAAGTATTAGTAAAAATTAAAAATGTAAATTGTATTCAAATCATAAAGTATTGAAGTATACAAACATGAACACGACAAGTTAAGAGTAAGGATATGATCTATTCCTAATTATATCTCAAAAGCATGCCACACAGTGACAATAATTGCTAAATAAACAAATACATAAAATACCTATTAAATCAAAGGCAGCAGTTTTTCAAGCCTTGGCTACACAATGACTGTAAAAGGATCAATGTCCTAGTTAGTGAAATGGGGTGACAAGTAGACTTGATTTATTATGATATTTAGAATACTGATGCTTAAGCACCAAACCAAACCAATAATAACTGAAGCATGAGGAGGCATACATCAACATAGGTGTATTTTTTTTAAAGCTTTTCAGATGACTCTAATGTGTCAACAGTGTTGATAACACCATTCTATGATTTTCAAAGTCAGTAGAGTACACTGAAGTATACATATAAAGTATAGCACCCTTTTAAGGAATTTCCATATAATTAAAATGCTGTATAATTTTAAGTAACTTCATAACATGCAATATGAAATTAGAGCTTGAAGTCTGATAAGAGTTACAAAGAAAATTAATGCTAATCATTTGTAGACTTACTATGACTATGCTAAGAATTTAAACATCATATACTAATTACTAATCTACATAACAATTATGTACTTTATAACTTTGTGTGTTAAAGACCTAGAATCTATGGCAGAGAAAAGTGAAGAGACCTACCAGAATCAAACATTAGGAAATCAAATGAGCTGCAATGAATTGGGGAAGCCTGATTTTACAGGCAAAGTTCATCAATGGATTTATCACTGCAAGTCTTCACAGTACCTTGGATTAATGGATTTGCCCCATTAACAGTAGGTTTTGAAAGTATGTAAACTACTTCAGGAACATGGAAAGGTGCCTACGCTACACCAATATAACCTTTTATTCTATATTATAGAACGCTCCTTTGAAATATGCATTTCTTGTATCTAAAATAGCATTAAAATAATAGTATGGAAGGGCTAGAGAGACAGCTTAATGAACCAAGTCCCTGCTTAGCAAAGCACAGGGACCCAGGTTTGATCCCTGGCACCACATG